ATTAACTCTATTGTTTACTGAGCATTTACTCATTTACTGTGGAGACACCCTCTCCATTCTGCTCTTGACCTCACCACCTTGGACAGACATTCCATGAATGAAGACATTGAAACTACAGAACCTGGGCCCACAGCAGCCTACTGATATTTACTGAACCAGACAACCCCCGAGGTCCCATTTGACAGTACAGAAGTGAGGAAAGTGTTAGTTGCTCAGCTGTATACAACTCTTTGCAACCCCATGGACTGTAGCCAGCAGGCTCCTCTGCCCGTGGAGTTACCAGGCAAGAATACTGGAGTGGGTTGCTATTTCTTCCTCTAGGAGGTCTTTTTCACCCAGGGATCGAACCTGGATCTCTTGTGTCTCCTGCATTGCAGGGGGATTCTTTACCATCGGAGCCACCAGGGAAGCCCTGAAAATATGGAGGAGACTAAAAGAATCAGCATAGCTGTGATAGCTTGTAAAATCACATCAATTTGGGTTGCGCTGCCTCCTTGCCCCACTGCTTGCTGCTATGGCAACAAATTATTGGGTCAGATATCCCTTCCTAAAGCTGGCCCTTCTGGGTGTGTGAGGCCACCATCCAGGCCCTGCTATGCTCCTAGAAAGGCCACTTAGAACCCAGGTCTGCCACATACAGAGGTGGAGAGAGCCCTTCCTTCTGTATGTGTCCCTTTTTGAAACAATTTAATTTGTGTGTGTGTGTAAAAAATAACCAAAGCCATGCTTTAAATAATAGTCTGTCCTCAAGGTCAATATTTTAAAACTCAAAATTCTCACTCCCCTGCTTACCTCTGCTAAACTAGACCTTTCATTGATGAATATAGATATTTACTCATCTCTTCATGAGAAAAGGTTTGCATTATTCTGTCATTAACCTTGTCTCCTCTGGTTTATTTTCATGTCTCCAGTGTGTTCTTGGCCTGCCCTGACCCTCAAGTGAGCTTTCTATCTCCTTTGCTGCAATAGTTTCATTTGTCTTTGTTGTTGTTTAGTTGTCAAGTCATGTCTGACTCTGCCGGGACCCCATGGCCTTTAGCTCACCGGGCACCTCTGTCATGCCCATGTGCCACGAGTTCTTAAGCTTGTGAGCCAAGAGCCTGGGCTTTGAAACAAGAGAGGGCACCACAATGAGAAGAGAATGCACCACCACTACAGAGGAGCCTCCATTCACCGCAACTACAGAAAGCCTACTCGCAGCAACGAAGAGAGAGCACAGCCAAAAAAAGTCAGTTAAGGCTTTGTGGCCATAGATGACTGCAGTGTAAGGAAGAGCTGGAGATAGGAGGTGTTCTGACACATCAGGGGAGTATTAGAGACAATGGAAGTGGCAGGTGTCAGTCATGTTTTCCCACAGAAGTAAGAAGGCAGAAGTATTTCAGTGGGATGCAAACTGGGTTTTCTATTCTATCTTGGCTTGAGGAAAAATGGAATATGGTCAGGGAGAGTTTCTCTTGTCTCTTATTCCAGTACTTTCTATATATCTGCATACAATTGTGTCATAGATATCGACTCCTTGTCAGCGTCAGGTGGTTTATGGGAAATGGTGTTTTACTGAGAGATTTTGCCACCCTCAGAATCTTTCCAAAATATGTGTCTTGGGGACTTTCCTGGTGTTCCTGTGGTTAAGACTCTTTGCTTCCACATCACAGGGCAGGGGTTTGATCGCTGGTCAAGGGACTAAGATCCCACATGCTGCCCAACATGGCCCAAAAAGCAAAACAAAATGTGTCTCTTTCTTGACACTTTACTCAAACCACTGAAGGCTTCTTGTTGACCACAGAAAAGAGCCTGTGACACTCCTCAGATTTTTTAGGATATTCACAGTATGGCTTGACCAACCATCCTCTTTTACTTTCCACCTGCGGGCTCCAACCACAAAGGCCTCCTAAAGAGGCAGCGTTTAAGCTTTCCTGCATGAGTTCTGCATCCTCAATGTCCTCCAAAGTATAGTCAGGTGTGATCAGTGATTGTAATCAGTCATTGCTCCTGGACCCTGAGAGCATTTGTCCTAGAGAGGTCCTGGGCAATTGCTTTGTCTTTAATAAATCCCTCCAGTCCCCAGACTCCTCTGGGATCCAGGGCCCCTTAGGCTCGAGGATGTGCAGAATGGGAGATAGAGAAGGGAGTTTTCGGACACAGGTGATGACTACAGAGGGTGATATTTTTTATGCTTTACTGAATAAAGGGGAGTGGGATCTCAGGTCATGATCCTGGAGTCACCCTCACACACTGGGTAAGTTGGGCAGAGGGTGAATGAGCTAATCCCTTCAAAACCTTCCAACCTGAGGGTCTTGGTTTCCCAGGTTGTATGATATTCTGCAGGAGAGATTTTCAGGTATGGCAATGCTCCTCTTTTCCACCTCTCTCCCTCCTAAAATTTCACTAGGTTTCAAAATGTTTATTAATATTCCACCAGTTATAATCTATTTTTAGTAATGCCTGCAGTTTTTGTATTTCTCAATGTGTTATTGATTCCCACAATATTAAATAATTTCAGCATACTGACAACTCAATGTAAGCATTAATGTCACAGTTCTCAACTCCTATGTTAGGTTAGAATCACTTTGGAGCTTTAGAACATTGTGTATGGATGTTGCACAGCAGAAACTGACACAATATGGTGAAGCACATGTGTTGTTGTTCAGCCGCCAAGTCGTGTCCAACTCCTCATGATGCCATGGACTTCAGCAACGATATTCCAATAAAAAAGTGTGGTTAAATATATCTAAGGGCTTCAGTAATTTTTATTTTTAAAATGTATCAAGTATCCTTGCTACTCACTGTGTAGTCCATGGACTGTGGCATGGGCATTAACTGGGTGCTAATTGAAGTGCAGAAGCATTATGCCATAATAATGTTACTAGTACTTAGCAAAAAAGTGCAGGAGCAGACCTACTGTGACAAAATCAGGGTTTCCCGGAACTCCCCGGGGATATTCATGGGTGATTAAATTTTAGATCCACTGCACTATGTTGCCTTATGTGAAAACCAGGCTGAGAACTACTGATTTAATGGGTGTAGAGTGTGAGAGGCTTATGGCATCATAAGTAATAACATCCCCAAGTTCTGCCTCTGGTTTATGATCTGCAGTCACACTCTTGGCACAAGAGTTGGGACCTGATCACTTGCCAGGGAAAAAACTTCTGAGAAAATTATGATTTTCTTCAATGATTCTTCTCACTGTGGTATCAGTACCTATGTCCATGTGTAAAACCTGTTGACATGGCTGGATCAACCCACATCAAGGAGTGAAATTCCGGATGTTGGATTCGGTTATGTCTTTCAGGAAGGAGCTTCCCACATCTAATGATGCTTCTCCTTTGCTTTTTTGGTCAGCTTTGAGGCACACTGTGTTGGATAAATCACGATTCTTCAAAAAAAATGAACCAGTTGGAGAGTGCCTCTATATCAATATTTGTATTATCTATATAGATAAATATCTCTATATCCTCTGTGATCATGAAGAGAATAGTGTATCTGGTGTGGGGACATTTTCCAAGGGGAGAAATTAGATCCATAAATTTGGTAATACAGTGTCAAATTCAGTGCCAAAGTGGTAGCACTAGGAGTTGAGTCTAGTACTTCCTGTTCTGGGAAGATTCAGTAGGAGCAGACAGCAAACTCCTAATTTAGAAGGAGCTGGCTATCTTTCAAGTTGGAAGAATGCATGTTTCAGGTGGAAGCACAACCATTGAGTGTTATGAACCATCAACTACGTCCAGACACTCTACCAGCTACAAGCACTGCTTGTACAAGCACTGCTGCGGTCTTGACGGCAGACGTGGCCTGTCCGACAGGTACTCTACCATTTTGCAGGCAAGAAAGCTATAAACAGTGTGATCAAAGGATACTGAAGGAGAAGGGTTCAATCATGGGATCAGGGAGATGAGTTAGGAGGCCGTTCCAGTGATAGAGAAAGGACATGATGTCAGCCAGATCAAGTGTACTGAGGTGGCTAATGGGAGTGTCTGAAACGGTAGGAGAATCTGTAGGACTTGCCCACAGATAGGAAGCTGATAATGACCAAAGGAGGGAATGAAAGAATACTTTCAGGTTGTGGAGCACCTGGATTCCCTTTTACTGAGAAATATGAGACATTAGAGGAGGAGGGAAACGGGGAAGGGCAAAGAGACATCATGAGTTTCTTTGCTGCAAATGACGGTGTAATGTCCCAGGGAAGATAACAATTAGGCCACTGAGTATACTCTTTCATAGAGTACAGAGACATTTGCAAGCAAAGCTTAAATAACCATCAAGCCATTGGAGTAGATGTTTTTCTTCCTGGTATGTATAGGATTACAAGGGAACCACGCTTAGGGAAAAGCCCAGGAGCACCCATCAACCTGAAGATATTGACAAAACAGGATCAACTATAGTTAGTGGGGGTGTGAGGAAAAACCAATACATCCTGTGTCTCAGGACTTAGTGGATAAGAGTATGCTTTTAAAAATCTGGAATATTGCTACATTTTAAAGCAAAGTGAAGAGAATAAGTGATTTCCAATCATGGAGATTCTGTTTATAGAGAGCTAGAGTCTGTGTAGATTTTAATTACTGTGATGAGAATGATATAAATTATTTTTGTTTTTGTTTTTTTTTTCAAAATGTTAAGATTTTATTTACAAAGCTTCTTTGTTGTACAGAAAGTAAAAATGCTGTTACAATCTTGGTGTGACTGGCAGCCACGGACAGCTGACTCACCAATCACAGCTATCCACGCTACAGCAAGTCTTACACAAAAACCTAACAACGCTTACAATTTTGTTGGGGTGAAGTCCCCAGGCTTGGTGGTGGATTTCCAAGAGGGACTAAATGGAGGAAGGTGGAATGTCACAGGAACTATTCTTTGGCTCTTTGGGTGGGTGGGTGTCCTGGGGTTTGTATCACAGCTACCTTTTTTTTTTTCTTAAAAAAAAAAAAAAAAACAGCTACCAAATCCATGTCAGCAGTCCAACCAATACTCAACAGTTCTTTTTTTTGCAGGTTACTGGGGTCTTATTAATCATCTTCTCCTTCATCACCTGTTTCTCTCTTCCTCTTTTCACCTTTCCCGCTTTCTTCCTCTTCTTCATCTTCATCTTCGTCTTCATCCTCATCCTCATCATCTTCATCAACTTCTCCATCTTGTCCAAATTCTTCTTCCTCCCCACTGACTTCATCTTCATCCTCCTCCCCTTCTACATCTTCATCTTCATCGTCATCCTCTTCATCATCAAACTCTTCTTCCTCGCCGTCTTCATCCTCCTCCTTATCCTCATCTTCTCCTTCCTCATCATCCTCGTCTTCATCCACACCATCCACCTCGGCATCTGAATCTGGGGCTTCACGATCCTCTCGGTCATAGCCGTCCAGATAGGTCAGCTGGGGCAGGAGCCTGAAGACACTCTCTCGGTAGTCGTTGAGGTTAGTGACCTCACAGGTAAACAGGTCCAGGCTCCTCAGACATTCCACCTTTCTCAAAGGTTCCAGGGTGCTGATATCTTTCAGTTTATTTCCACTTAAGTTTAGATGTGTAAGATTTGCAAGTTATTCTGCTAACATATCCAGACCTCCACAGATTCTATTGTCACTGAGCTCAAGCTTTTTCAATTTAGGTAGTTTGGGAAGATCTGAAACTGAAATCAAGCCTACATTTATTAAACTGAGGAACTTGAAGTTCACAAATTCAGCTGTTAGGCCCTCAATTTTCCCATCATTTGATGTGCAATTGTCCAGGACAAGTTCTAGATCAGCTGCCGGGGTCCGGGTCCTCAGCTCCAGGTGGATCCTCCTCTTCATGTCCATGTTTCTCTCTCTTCCCCCCTCTTCAAACTTAACTTTCCGTGGCGGGGGCGGAGGGGGGAGAGGCGTCCCAGCCTGCGCAGCGAGGGCCGTCGGAAGGGGTCTGCTTGAGGCAGAGGCCGACGGCGCGGTCCTGGGTGGTGGGCGGCGTGCGGGCAGGCGAGTGGAGCCCCCGGAGCCAAGTTACTCGCGGGAGTGGAGAGAAACCATGGAGGGAAAAGGGGGCTGGAGCGCAGCTCTGGTCTCACTACCGCCGCCCCCGGCCGCGGCCCCGCACTATAAATTATTTTTGCAAAGCATCTACTGGCCCATATATAATAGAAATATGCTCAATTTGAAATTCAAGTTTTCATGGACATTGTTATTTCTTCCTAAGGACACTGGAGACAGAGCATGACAGGAAGGAATCAAACTATTTTCTCAGAGTTCCTCCTGTTGGGACTGCCCATCGAGTCAGAGCATCGAAACCTGTTCTATGTCCTGTTCCTGGCCATGTACGTTACCACTGTCCTGGGGAACCTTCTCATCATCGTCCTCATTTGCCTGGACCCCCACCTCCACACACCCATGTATTTGTTTCTCAGTAACCTGTCTTTCTCTGACCTCTGCTTCTCCTCTGTCACAATGCCCAAATTGCTTCAGGACATGCAGAGCCAAGACCCGTTCATCTCTTATGCTGGCTGCCTGACACAAATGTACTTCTTTCTGTTCTTTGGAGACCTGGAGGACTTCCTCCTTGTGGCCATGGCCTATGACCGCTACGTGGCCATCTGCTTCCCCCTGCGCTACACCACCATCATGAGCCCCAGGCTCTGTCTCTCCCTGCTGGTGCTGCCCTGGGTGCTGACCACATTCCATGCCATGTTACACACCCTGCTCATGGCCAGGCTGCACTTTTGTGATGACAATGTGATCACCCACTTTTTCTGTGACATGTCTGCTCTGCTGAAGCTGTCCTGCTCTGACACTCGGGTTAATGAGCTGGTGATATTCATCATGGGAGGGCTCGTTCTTGTGATCCCCTTTCTACTCATCATCATGTCCTACGCTCGAATCGTGTCCTCCATCCTCAAGGTCCCTTCTGCGAGGGGCATCTGCAAGGCCTTCTCCACCTGCGGCTCCCACCTCACTGTGGTGTCCCTGTTTTATGGGACAGTTATTGGTCTCTACTTATGCCCATCAGCTAATAATTCTACTGTTAAGGAGACTGTGATGGCTGTGATGTACACTGTGGTGACCCCCATGCTGAACCCCTTCATCTACAGCTTGAGGAACAGAGACATGAAGGGAGCTCTGGGAAGAGTCTTTTGTAGAAAAAAATTTCCCTTTTCTCTGTGATGGTCAAGCTGGGATGTTTGCATAGTTTTATGTGGTTGGTATATTGGTGTTAATACGGGGATATTAACCCAGACTTCTTTTTTCAATGATCTTTTTGTTCAAATTCCATAGTAAGATATTGCCCAGTAAGTAAAAGAGATATGGTGGAGGTATGTAGTAGGACTTGGAAAGGGGATGTTAGTGATCTACTAGCAGAATCTTGCTCAGTTTTCTCTCCAGTTTACTCTAAGAAGACTCATTTTTTTTTTCATTTATTTTTATTAGTTGGAGGCTAATTACTTTACATCATTGCAGTGGTTTTTGTCATACATTGAAATGAATTAGCCATGGATTTACATGTATTCCCCATCCCGGTCCCCCCTCCCACCTCCCTCTCCACCCGATCCCTCTGGGTCTTCGCAGTGCACCAGGCCCGAGCACTTGTCTCATGCACCCAACCTGGGCTGGTGATCTGTTTCACCCTACATAATATACGTGTTTCGATGCTGTTCTCTTGAAACATCCCACCCTCGCCTTCTCCCAGAGTCCACAAGTCTGTTCTATACATCGGAGTCTCTTTTTCTGTTTTGCATATAGGGTTATCGTTACCATCTTTCTAAATTCCATATATATGTGTTAGTATACTGTAATGGTCTTTATCTTTCTGGCTTACTTCACTCTGTATAATGGGCTCCAGTTTCATCCATCTCATTAGAACTGATTCAAATGAATTCTTTTTAATGGCTGAGTAATATTCCATGGTGTATATGTACCACAGCTTCCTCATCCATTCATCTGCTGATGGGCATCTAGGTTGCTTCCATGTCCTGGCTATTATAAACAGTGCCGCGATGAACATTGGGGTGCACGTGTCTCTTTCAGATCTGGTTTCCTCAGTGTGTATGCCCAGAAGTGGGATTGCTGGGTCATATGGCAGTTCTATTTCCAGCTTTTTAAGAAATCTCCACACTGTTTTCCATAGTGGCTGTACTAATTTGCATTCCCACCAACAATGTAAGAGGGTTCCCTTTTCTCCACACCCTCTCCAGCATTTATTGCTTGTAGACTTTTGGATAGCAGCCATCCTGACTGGCGTGTAATGGTACCTCACTGTGGTTTTGATTTGCATTTCTCTGATAATGAGTGATGTTGAGCATCTTTTCATGTGTTTGTTAGCCATCTGTATGTCTTCCTTGGAGAAATGTCTGTTCAGTTCTTTGGCCCATTTTTTGATTGGGTCATTTATTTTTCTGGAGTTGAGCTGGAGGAGTTGCTTGTATATTTTTGAGATTAATCCTTTGTCTGTTGCTTCGTTTGCTATTATTTTCTCCCAATCTGAGGGCTGAAGAAGACTCATTTTTAAATTTCCAAGTAATTTTTGTATCCCTCCCATTTTTTCTTTTCTGTTTCTGGTGTTTTATTTACTGATAAAATTAACTCTATTGTTTACTGAGCATTTACTCATTTACTGTGGAGACACCCTAACCATTCTGCTCTTGACCTCACCACCTTGGATAGACATTCCATGAATGAAGACATTGAAACTACAGAACCTGGGCCCACAGCAGCCTACTGATATTTACTGAACCAGACAACCCCCGAGATCCCATTTGACAGTACAGAAGTGAGGAAAGTGTTAGTTGCTCAGCTGTATACAACTCTTTGCAACCCCATGGACTGTAGCCAGCAGGCTCCTCTGCCCGTGGAGTTACTTGGCAAGAATACTGGAGTGGGTTGCTATTTCTTCCTCTAGGAGGTCCTTTTCACCCAGGGATCGAACCTGGATCTCTTGTGTCTCCTGCATTGCAGGGGGATTCTTTACCATCGGAGCCACCAGGGAAGCCCTGAAAATATGGAGGAGACTAAAAGAATCAGCATAGCTGTGATAGCTTGTAAAATCACATCAATTTGGGTTGCGCTGCCTCCTTGCCCCACTGCGTGAGGTTATGGCAACAAATTCTTGGGTCAGATATCCCTTCCTGAAGCTGGCCCTTTCGGTTGTGTGAGGCCACCATCCAGGCCCTGCTATGCTCCTAGAAAGGCCACTTAGAACCCAGGTCTGCCACATACAGAGGTAGAGAGGAGAGCCCTTTCTTCAGTATGTGTCCGTTTTTGAAACAATTTATCTTTTTTTTTTGTTTGTAAAAAACGACTGAGACCATGCTTTAAATAATACTCTGTCCTCGATGGAAATACCTTAAAATTCAAAATTCTCTCTCCCCTGCTCACCTGTGCTAAACTAGACTTTTCCTCTCTGAATATCGATATTTACTTATCTCTTCATGAGAAAAGTGTTGTGTTATTCTGTCACTAACCTTGTCTCCTCTGATTCATTTTCATGTCTCCAGTGTCGTCTTGACCTGCCCTGACCCTCAAGAGAGCTTTCTATCTCATTTGCTACAGTAGTTTCATTTGTCTTTGTTGTTGTTTAGTTGCCAAGTCATGTCTGACTCTGCCGGGACCGCATGGCCTTTAGCTCACCAGGCACCTCTGTCATGCCCATGTGCCACGACTCCTTAAGCTTGTGAGCCAAGAGCCTGTACTCTGTAACAAGAGAGGCCACCGCAATGAGAAGAGAATGAACCACCACTACAGAGGAGCTCCCGTTCACCACAACAATAGAAAAGCCCACACACAGCAATGAAGACAGAGCACAGCCAAAAAACGTCAGTTATGGCTTTGTGGCCGTAGATGACTGCAGCGTAAGGAAGAGCTGGAGACTAGGTGGTGTTCTGACACATTTGGGGAGTATTAGACACAATGGATGAGGGGTATCTCCTCACGGCCGCCCCTCCTGACTTTGAACGTGGAGTAGCTCCTCTAAGGAGCAGCGGCTGCACTTTGCTGGAGCAGCCGTGAAGTGGTACCCCACGTCCAAGGTAAGAGAAACCTAAGTAAGACGGTAGGTGTTGCGAGAGGGCATCAGAGGGCAGACACACTAAAGCCATAATCGCAGAAAACTGGCCAATCTGATCACAGGACCACAGCCTTGTCTAACTCAATGAAACTATGAGCCATGCCATGTAGGGCCACCCAAGACAGACAGGTCATGGTGGAGAGGTCTGACAGAATGTGGTCCACTGGAGAAGGGAATGGCAAACCACTTCAGTATTCCTGCCTTGAGAACCCCATGAACAGTATGAAAAGGCAAAATGATAGGATACTGAAAGAGGAACTCCCCAGGTTGGTAGGTGCCCAATATACTACTGGAGATCAGTGGAGAAATAACTCCAGAAAGAATGAAGGGATGGAGGCAAAATAAAAACAACACCCAGCTGTGGATGTGACTGGTGATAGGATCAAGGTCCGAGGCTATAAAGAGCAATATTGCATAGGAACCTGGAATGTTAGGTCCAAGAATCAAGGCAAATTGGAAGTGGTCAAACAGGAGATGGCAAGACTGAATGTCAACATTCTAGGAATCAGCGAACTAAAATGGACTGGAATGGGTGAATTTAACTCAGATGACCATTATATCTACTCCTGTGAGCAGCAATCCCTTAGAAGAAATGGAGTAGCCATCATGGTCAACAAAAGAGTCCGAAATGCAATACTTGGCTACAATCTCAAAAACGACAGAATGATCTCTGTTCATTTCCAAGGCAGACCATTCAATATCACAGTAATCCAAGCCTATGCCCCAACCAGTAACGCTGAAGAAGCTGAAGTTGGATGGTTCTATGAAG